TCCTCCTCCTCCTCCTCCCCCTCCATCCTCTCATCTTCCTCATGCTTCTCCTCCTTCTCTTCCTCCTCCTCCTCCTCCTCCTCCTCCTCCTGCACTGGGGGGCGGGCAACACCCCGAGGAGCGTCCTGGCCTGCCGCAGCGGGGCGCTGTCCGGCAGCGACCTGCTGCGGGCGCCGTTGGTGGCCTTCGGCGCCTCTCGGAGGCCCTTGGCGGCCATCGGTTGATTTGCCGTCGTCGTCGTTGTCGTCGTCGGCGTGGCCGTCGTCGTCGACGACGACGCCGACGCCGACGCCGACGACGACGACGACAAGAACCCATTCAGATCACACCCACCACCGCAGCCACCGTCGCCGCCGTCGTCGTCGCCGCCGTCGCCGCCGTCGTCGTCGCCTTGGGGGGAAGGGTTGAGTGGTTCTGGACGCCCTCCGGATCATTTTCCGAGGGGGGGGGGGGTCCCGTACCCCTCCCTGGCTTTGGGGGCGGGGGTTGAAGCCCCCCTCCCCCCGGTTAGCAGCGTCTCGTGCAAGCTGCAAAAAAAGGCTCTCGGAGCCTCCCCTCGAGGGCCTCCAAGCAGGTCAGAACGCTTCGCCCCTGCTTGGCGACGGACGCGCTGGCCTCGGCGGCCCCGCGACCAGCGCCAGCTGCGCCCCCTCGGCGACGGCGGCGGCGCCGCCCGCCGCCTGTCGCCGTCCCGGACCGACGACGGCGCCGACGACGGCGATGAGCAGCACGGGGCGGGCGACGGTCGGCGCCGTCGGCGACGACAGCAACGACGAGGACGACGACGCCACCGCCGACGGCGCAGACGCTGCAGACGACACCGACGACGACGCCGAAGGCGCTGACGCTCACAACGACGACGGCCACCAGGACGCCAAGAAAGACGATGACGATGACGATTGCTGTCGAGGGCGATGACGCCGACGATGGCGAGGAGAAGAGGAGAGAGGTGAAGCAAAGGCAAGAGACAGGGAATCTCAATTATCCCTCCTTGTCCTACTTGCTGCCTCATGCTCCCTGCCGCCTCCTCCTCCTGCTCCTCTTCCTCCTCCTCTTCGTCCTCCTCTTCCTTCTCCCGAACTCCTCCTCCCATATGATCCTCCTGACTCCTTTGCCTCCTTTTCCTTTCCTCCTCCCCATCTTACCCGTCCGCCTCACCTTTTTACTCAATCTTCCCATGCCTGCTCGTCCACCTCCTCCTCCTCCTCAATCTTCTCCATGTCCTCCTTCTGCTCCCTTCACTCCTCAAGCTATCCTACCAAATATCCTCACCCTCCTCCCTCAGCACCCTTCTCCTGCCATTTCTGGTTCCTCCTTCCTGCTCCTCCTGCCACAGTTTCCTTCTCGGCCTTCTCTTCTTCCAACTATTTTCCTCCCCTGCCTCCTGCCCTTCGCCTCCCCCCTCTTATTATCCCGCAGCCTCCTTCTCATGTGCCTTCTCCTCTTCCTCCTCCTCCACCTCCTCCCCCTCCTGCTCCTCCTCGTCTTCCTCCCACCATCTCCTCCACCTCCTCTTCATCATCCTTCCGAGCGCGCTTTCCCAAGAGAAGGCCGACAGGCAGTGGAGGAGGACGGATGTGAAGATGGGGGCAGGGAAGGAAAGAGATAATGGCGGCCGTGGAGGGAGTTGAGTCCCGAGGGGTGGAGGGGATGGGAGTGCAGCGGAAGGAGACGAGGGAGGCAAGCGGGGGCGGAGAGGGAGGCGAGGGACGGAAAGGGAATGGCAGTAGCACCGCCTGGCGCAGAGCACGATGGTTTACCACTCTTTGGCCGCAGCATGCTGTCCGCATCCAGGGCCCAATTTGCCAGAGGGGCGTTGGATTGGACTCTTCCCACTCCCAGCGCCAGCAGCAAAGAGCAGCAAGAGCACCGGGACCGCCACCCCCTATCCCATGCACCCCCGCTCGCTGGAGGTTTCAGGGGATCTCTGGAGGTCCCATCCCTTGAGGTCGCCAGAGGTCTCCGAAAGCGAAGGCCTCTGGAGCCCACCGGGGGTCCCCGCATGCCTCGGAGGGCCCGACGAGAGCCAAAAACGTCCAAAAGCTTTATCCTTGAACCTAGACTCCTCCTCCTCCTCCTCCTCCTCCTCCTCCTCCTCCTCCTCCAGCGGGCAGCGGGCAGCGGCAACATCAACACTTATCCGAATATAAGCGGACCTTGTGTGTACTTGGACGGCCTTTGCACGACGCTCAGCCGGGTGGAACAACGCGCGTGGTGCAAGCTGGAGGGCTCCCTGGGCCTCGAACGGGGCAGTCCATGGTGCCACTTTTTTTCATGGGCGAACGGGCCCGAGTAAGCTATGGTGCCCGAGCTGTGACCGAATGTTTCTCGGATTGGATGCATGGTTTTTCAATGATCCTGTTGTGCTGCGTTGTGTTTTCGCGCTGGTGCTTCAGTCTGCTTCAGTTTCTCCGAGGAGGAAAGCAGAGGGGAAGGAAGCGCGGCGGGCAGCGGCGGCAGCGGCATGGGGCGGCAGCGGCAGGGGCGGAAGCGGCGGCAGTGGCAGGCAGCGGCAGGCAGCGGCAGGCAGCGGCAGGCAGCGGCAGCAGCGGCAGGAGGAGGAGGAGGAGCAGGAGCAGGAGGAGGAGGGGGGAGGAGGAGGAGGAGGAGGAAGAGGATGAGGAGGAGGAGGAGGAGGAGGAGCGGGAGGAGGATGGAGGGAGGAGGAGGAGGAGGGGAGGAGGAGAGGAGGAGGAGGAGGAGCAGGAGGAGGATGGGGGGAGGAGGAGGGGGAGGAGGAGGGGGGAGAGGAGGAGGAGGAGGAGGAGGAGGAGGAGGAGGAGAGGAGGAGGAGGAGGAGGAGGAGGAGGAGGAGGAGGAGGAGGAGGAGGAGGGCAGCAGCGGGCAGCAGTTGTGGGAGGCCGGGACTTCCTGGGCGTCCAGCGCCAACATCCCGCCGCCCTCGTCCGAGGCGCCCGCCTCGATTTGGGCCTCGGCTGGGGCAGTGGCAACGCAACCAGCCCAAGCAGCCAAGCAACCAACCCAACTAGTCAACCAATCGAACAACCCATCACCCATCAACCGGTGAACCGGCCAACCAACCAACCAACCAACTCGGCATTCACACAACCACTCAACGAAATCTCCAAGAAGCCGGGCAACCAGTCATCCAACCCACTCAAACAGCCAAACCAACAGCTGGCCCACAAACCAGCCAGCCAACCAACCCGAGCAATCAATATCAACACGACACAAATCGACCACATAACTCAGCATCACCAACGTACATGCCGTGAAGCAAGTCGCGCTGCATCTGGCTGGTTGCTGAAGCAACGCTGTATACGCTGTGACCGTATAAGCGTTCTTCAGACATGACACTCTACGTAGCAAGTAGTCAACTCTCTGCCTCGGATTGTTTTCCTCAGGCCTGCCCTTGAGGCGCCCCCGTTCGGGAGAAAAACAAACAGATCTTCCGATCAGGATGGTTGCAAATGGCAAGGTTTGTGTGGGAATGCGCACAGACGCCCCCCAAATGTGATTCTTGGCTGGTTTGAACAGGCCCTTGAGGTAGCCCTGGGGCTCCTCAACACTTAGCGCGTTTTCTGGCGGCGCCACACAGGGCGCTACGCGCCCTGCGGTTCTGCGGTGTTGAGACCGCCCTGCGCTGCCATGTGCGCCTGTCGTGGCCAGCAGGGACTACATTTGGGGGGGCGGTCTGCCTTCGAAACCAGGGCCGTGAAACAGGATCAGCGTCGTGACAAGAATAGCAGCTGGACCTCTCGACCCCATCTTTGTAGAGCAAACGTCGTGCCTTCTCCACGGCGCCCAGGCCCAGACCTCCGACATCGCGATTGTTTCAATTTGGCGTCAGCGTCTCTTAGCGTCAATTTGGCGTCAGCGTCTCTGTCGATGGCCCCAGGTCCCGAGAACGGCCCAACAGGCCGGAACCGGGAAACCACAGAGGGATCGAAGAGATCGCGACGCCAGAGGTACGGCCTCCCCTTCCCTCAGAGTCGACCCTTCAGACCTCTCTTCAGGGTGCGCTCGGACCATCCTTTCGAAGCGAAGCCAAGCCGTGGCGGCGACGTCGCCCCGGGAGCCCACCCCAACCCAAGAACGTCCCAGACACGGACCCTCGACGCTCCCTCGGTCCGCCCTCAGACCCAGACCTTCGACTTGTGAATTGTTTCAACACTGGGCTCCAGGAGTCCCGTCTCCCTCCAGCAGGAATCCCAGCGGCCCTTTGGGCCAAGGTGGTCTAGCAGTATCTTCCGCTCCTCTTCCAAAGCCCTCTTTCCTGCGGGGAGGGGTACCCTTCCCCTCCCTTCCCTTGGGTTTTTTAGGGCGGGACGCGAGTGACTAGGGCGTCCAAGATGGCCCACCCAAGATGGCTCCGAGAGGGCCTCCGATACTCCAAGATGGCATCCAAGGCGGCTCAAGATAGCCGACGATGGTTCAAGATAGCTTCCGACATGCCTCAAAGAGGCCCGACGAGGGCCACAAGACGGTTCCAAGTGCTATCCGAGCCCCCTCAGGATCCCCACGAGGCCAACATCCCTCAACAATCTGAGAAACACCGATGATGTTTGCCGTCTCGCCTTCTCGGTTCCGATCCGCTTTGAGCCCTCAAAGATGGCCCAGAAGAGGCCCTTGGGCACACAAATAAATACACACAAATAAGCAGATTACCCATCGTTTCCCATATATTCTGTTTTTTTTTCTTCCCCCCCACTTCCCATATTTTCCCATATCCTCTGGGGAATCGACGATTCATTGTGTCTGTTTTTTCCCTCCTGACAGAAGAGGGCCCAAAAGGGGGCCCAAGCGGCCCCCCCAGACGGCCCCAGGAGCGGCCCGAAAGCGGCCCGGGAGCGGCCTGAGAGGGCTCTGAGCATCGGCGAGCTTGCTGGCCCCAGGGGAGGGCGGACGTTTAAGAACCTCACTCCTTTGATCGACGCCCTACAATTAAGTCGGGCACGTCCCCCCTTTACATGGGGATTCTCGACGAAAAATAAAAAAAATACTTTTAACAAAAAAGCGCCAACATGGGGAAACATGTTCCCAACAAAATCCCCAGACAATTGTTCTGCCTACTTTTGAATATCCCCCTGTAGAAGGACAGGCCAAACTTAACCCCAGGTGGGGCGGACATTTAGGACCCCCACTCCTTTGATCGACGCCTTACAAGATGCCCCCAAGAGGCCTTGCAGGGCTCCAAAGAGGGCGCCACGATGGCCCCAAGAGGGCCCTATGAGCACCCGAGAGCGCCCCAAGACTTTTCTCGTCCCCCCCGGCGGGCCCTAGGGATGGCCAGAAGAGGCCCTCCAATGCCACCCCCTTGCCCCCAGAGATCTTGTTGTTCATCCTGGTTGCCCGCTTTGCTTCACTATGTGTGTCTATTCGTCCTTTTTCCCGTCAATTCTGATGGGCAGGGTCTCTGAAATGAACGGGCTGGTGGAGATACTTGTTTGATCGCGAGTGCAAGCAGAAGAGCCGCGCGCCGTCCAGACCCACCGCTAACCAGCAGGAGCCTGAATTGCACACAAGGCTGGTGGGGATACTTTTTGGTCTGCGGGCTCGCGAAGCAGGTCGAAGGCCGTCCAAACACGAGCCAGGCCGCGACTAGGCAGCAAAAAGAGAGGCAAGCAAACTGAGCGCGCGGGCAGCCACTCAGAGGAAGAAGGGCCTGAAATAACACTCCCAACTCGGTGGCGTGGAGACCCCGGTGGCGACCAATGAATACGCAGCCAAAATGGCGCGGCGGCGTGACCATGAACGCGCAGAGGTCGATCACCCAGCGTGAGTCGGCACAAGGCCCGATGCGAGCAGGACCGACAGGCACACCCGGACGACGTCCGTGCCGTAGGCGACACAACAGCACCGTGTCAGCGCAAGGGTGGAGAGGGGCAACCTCGTCACAGACAGGACTGCAAACGGCAGTACCTCTTGTTTGTAGTACAGTAGTGGCACATGCCGAAAGCGAAGTCCATGTAGGAGAAAGTAGCCGACGGGCGCACAGAGCCACACATGCCGAAGTCCTCGAAAACTGGTGGGGATACGCGAAGCGTGCATGGGCGGTGCCCAGACTTGGCTTCCGGACGCAGCAAACGGAGAAACAAAAAACAGCCCTCCTGATTTTTCGGGGCGCGAGTGGGCTTGGGCTCGTTCGTGCGTTCGTTCGCAAGCCCTGTCGCACATCACAGCGGCTCAGGAAAGGACAGATGCCAGCCGCGCAGGAAGCGGCAATCTGAGATCCGAGAGCACACTGCTTACCAATTTCCCAACAGTTGCTCCCCAAACTGGCTGTCTATGCACTTCAAAGCGCGGGGACCTGGTCTCGGGGCAAAAACCGCCGACCCTGTCGGCGTGTGGAAAACGTATCCAGGTCTCGTCATCTTGCGTGGGTCGTCGTCGCCAACGAAATCGTCACGTCGGCTCCAACAGGGGTGGTCGGCTCCCCTCGTGGGAGGGAAGCTGCCCACGACACCGCCACGTCGGCCCCAACAGGGGGAGTAGTCGACTCTCCCCGGGCGAGGGGAGCGGCCGCGACCGGGGGGGAAGCCAATCTGCTCCCCCCCCGGGACACGGGGGGGAAGCCAATCTGAGCAACGTCGTAGCTAACTCGAAGGGAAGCCCTTTCCCTTTTAATCCCTTCTCCCCGAGGGGGTGGGGGGGGCGGGGGGTCACACACGGATACCGGGGGGGGGGCCCTGGGCGGCTCCCTTCGGAAAAGGGGAGCGGCCGCGACGCGGAGGGGAGGCTCCACTCGGGGGTGGGGAGCTGCCCACGGCACCGCCACGTCGGCTCCAAGATGGGGAGTGGTCGACTCTCCCAGGGCGAGGGGAGCGGCCGCGACCCGGGGGGCTGCCCCCCCCTCCCCCCCCGGACACGGGGGGGAAGCCAATCTGAGCAACGTTTTAGTCGTAGCTAACTCGAAAGGAAGCCCCTTCCCTTTCATCCCTTCCCCCCGAGGGGGGGGGGAGGCACACCCGGATACTCACGGGGGGGGGGGGGGGGGGGGGCACTCGGGCGGCTCCTCCTTTCTCCTTTTAGGAGGGGGAGCGGCCGCGACGCGGAGGGGAGCGGCCGCGACACAGGGGGGAAGCCAATCTGAGCAACGTCGTGGCTAACTCGAAGGGAAGCCCCTTATCCCTTCCCCCCGAGGGGAGGGGGGGGGTCCCACCCGGATGCCCGGGGGGGGGGGTCACCCAAGCGTCTCCCTTCGGGCGAGGGGAGCGGCCGCGACGCCGAGGGGAAGCCAATCTGAGCAACGTCGATGTTTACTCGAAGGGGGAGTCCCGGAAGGGGGTCCCAGGGGGGTCCCGGGTCAGAATACCACTCTCCCGGGGCCCATGGCCCGCCCTCTCCCTCCCATTTCCGTCGAAGGCCGAGGCCTCCAGGGTCGGCGGCACCAGCCTTCAGCCTTAGCAATAACGGTCCATACGCCCTTGTTGTCCTCTTCCATAAATGGCGATTTCATAAACCCGTAACCCCAAAACCTCGCCATCTCTTGAGAGGCCAACTTTTATTTTCGTCGCCCTCCGCCGAGCTTCCGCCGGCTTCCGCCAACGGATGTGGCGTCACTTGACGTCCGCCGCCGTCTGCCGAGGAAGAGATATCAACTACTTCGACACTCGAAGGCGATGACTTTTCTTGAATGCCTCAATTTCTATTTCATTGGCCAAGAGACTGCAGCAAAAAGCTATCCCTGGGCTGCGCTCCAGCCAGCTTTTGCAGCAGCCCCCGGCCGCGGCCACGAGAGTGCTCTTCGGAGGCCCGGGCAGTGCTGGGAGCGAAGAAAACCTGGATCCTCGGACCTCGATCTTGGAGGTGTGGAGCCTCGCAACAAGGGGGCGGCGCGAGGGGGGCTCCTGAAAGCGCTGGGGACATCTTAAAAGCCGCCCGGGCTTCCTTTAGCCTCCTTGGAAGCCTCCAGGCCTCCGCCTTCTAAGAAGCACCCTGCAGTCTCAGAAGGCCACCCCACTCGCGCC